GTTAAGAGCAGTTCAATCTGGTAGCTTTTCTAGAAAACAATTCTAAGTCCAGTGAGGCCAGAGCAGCACACAGAAGTCTCATAGGACCTCTGGACTATAAGGTACCTCCTCAGCTTGGGGTCTGTCCTCTGCTGAGCTGTTCCCTACTGTTCATTTGAACACAGTTGGCAAATGTTTTCTGTAAAGTGTCATATAGTAAAATATTCAGGCCTTGTAGACTATAAGGTCAATAGAAAAATGAACATGACCAAATTCTAATAAAAATTTATCTACAAAACTGGTAGTGGCATATTTGACTCATGAGCCTTATTGTGAGGACCCCGATCTAGAAGTGCTCTTCAGAGGTTTCAGCTGAGTAATAACACCTGTTTCATGGAAACAGATCTTTCTGTCTTAATTCTGCAGAGACTCAGGGCTCAGCCCTTGAACTTCTGTTACTTAACTAAACAGACTCATAGCCTTAAGTACCAGTTTTATTCTGACAACTCCTACATTTATGTTTCCACCCTGGACCTCCCTGCTGAACCCCACATTCATCTGTCTAATCATCTTCTCAGATGTCTCACAGCTTGAAATGTTCCAGGCTGAACTCCTGGTGCTTTGTTCAAACCACTCTATTCCCTTTGCCCTTTAGTTGTTCAGGTCTCAAATCTTGAGGACCTTGTCCTTGACTCTTCTCTTGTATACCTACATCTAATCAGCCAGGAAATACCATCTAGTCTTCTCTTTAAAATATATTTAATATACAGGAGAAACTAATCTTATGTCTTGCTACATTAGTGAAACGGCATCTCAACTGATTTTCCTGTGGTCAAATTTGCCTCCTCAAAGTCTGTTTCCAACATAGAACACATGTCAGTCCCTTTCTTAAAACCCCCAATGACTCTCAACAAGTCCATTTGCACTCACAGTCCAGATATCTTAGTGGCATCACCTCTTGTTCCTCACTTATTCTGGTACAGCCACATTATCTCATTATTCATTGAACACCCGGATCTAGTTTGACCCTTGCATGGGTAATTCTCTCAGCTTGGACTATCCTTTTCCCAAATATCTACATGGCCTGTTCCCTGAATCTCTAATACATTTTTATTCAAATTTTATCATTTTAATTAAAGAGATCTACTTTAATCATTCTTCAAAATTATACTCTATCCCTTATATACCCATCCCATCTATCCCCAGTTAACTTGCTGTAATCTTATTTATCATGTATATTATCTATTTCTCCACACTAAAATTAATCACCACAAGTGTTGGGAAATCACTCCAAAGGTTAGGGTTGTATCTGTTCTCTTCACTGCTGAATCATTAACACATAGAACAGTGACCAGCATGTATCATATGTCAATAAGTATCAGTCAAGTGCTTGAACACTGAAGATGGTGTATCTGTACCGACTGACCTATTGGCATAAGCTTTGAATGAAACATTGTTGGATTTTAGGAAGGCTGTAGTTGGTAATATATGTACCAGCCTTACTTCTGCCTCTGTCTTTAAAAACTTCTTATTTCTCTACTGTATATTCTGAGACTGTATGTGGCATATACAAATATATTCACAGTATCCACTTTCCCACTTACTAATAATGACACAACTTGCTAAATTCCATGCTTTCTCATTTTTAATAATAGGAGTAATCATTTCCTTCAGTCAATATCATGGGCTGAGCACATGCTAGTTACTTGTCAGATAGTCCTGTGTTGAATCCTTGTAGCAGTCTAATGATCTGAATACTTTTATCATTTTCATTTTTAGAGAGGAAAAAATCAGGTCTCAAATAGGCTACGTGACTGCTCTGAGAAGGCAAATGGTGGCACTGAAATCTGACCTGGTCTCTGAGATCGTGATTCGGGTTTCAACACATTTTACTTCAACACAATTTACTGTTGTCTCATCTTCATTTCTTCCAACTCAGTGTCAAATGGTCAACTTTTATACTATTTAAGCTTTTTATATCTATTAACTTGAATTAATCGTGTGAGCGGATTTATCTTCTCTTTTTCTTTCTCTCTTTTTGTTGATTGTTTTTTGACAGGGTCTCTCTACCTATTAACTTGAATTAATCGTGTGAGCGGATTTATCTTCTCTTTTTCTTTCTGTCTTTTTGTTGATTGTCACAATGTGAACCAGGGTGGCCTCAATCTCACAGAGATCCACTTGCCTCTGCCTTCCAAGGGCTGGGATTAAAGGAGCATGCCACCATGCCCGGTTTATCTTCTCTTTTAAGTCATACTAACTAGCAAATCCTCTTTGAAGTCATTAATCAAGCACTAAAAAATAAAACAGAGTTGTTTCTTTAGTCCACTGAATAGATATTCCCCAAATATTTGTTCATACAGAGTTAACATTTTTCTTCTTGGGATACATAACCATTTTTTATCCAGATGAAGATGACAGGGTCTGCATGCATCTGAGGTTTGCCACTGTGCTGTATGTGGTACACAGGAAGCCATTCAAGGGACAGCGCTCTATGGAGTCCTCTGACTGGAGATACTGGAGAGACATTCTGATAGTCAGTGGAGTTCCAGCCAGGTTGTTGTCCCTGTCTACAAAGACTTGAAATGTTCAGGTTTAAAGGTGCTCTTTAGCTCTAAAATTTCAGTATTCTAACTCCTAGCCTTGGTAGATGCAGTTCCTGTGGTCTTTGCAGCAACTCACATGTGCTTCCTGTAACTGAAAACTGTGATCAGCCCCAGCCTCTAAACTTTTGAAGTCTGGATAGTGAGGCACCAAGTGCTTCTCAGTACCTTGGGCTGAGTCTACTGAGGAATCGCCCAATACATGTTTGCTAAATTAATAAAAGAAGGAAAGAAAACAAACACAATCTATCTCATTCTCTTGGGTGACTGTTTATTATATGAGTCATTAGACCTCATCCAGTCCCACAATGCGTTCCTATCTAGCAGATCACTGAAATAGACAAAACAGATTGTTGGAGGACAGATCCCTTTAATAAACCAAATATATCCTGTCTCCCACCAGCTGGTTTGAGTTAACAATGAGATAAGGATCAAGCTTGCCCCTTCTTTCTTGCTGGAACAATAGAGCCTCATACCTAGTTATTACTTTACTGCAGTTTGATATACCAAGCACTACAGTGAGGCCCTGGTACTTTCTAGCTACCCCCATACAGGAGATTTCCTTTCCATTGGCACTGCTTCTCCTCATACAAGAAACAGGTATGAAGGCTCTTTGTAATAAAGGAAAAAGAAACTTTAGCATGTGGCACGCAGAGCGTAGCAAGTAAAGATACAAAGATAGAGTGGAGAAGTGTTCACCCTGGACGCAGACTGGGTGCTCTCCCTTGGAACAGTCATGGTCAAACATTAATTTAGAATCACTTGACTTTACTGAAGTGAGAATAATTTCGAATCGCTTGGCCTTCACTGAAGTGATTCCTCAAGCTTTCCTTTTGGGTCTTAAGAACTGTAAAGAGCAAAACAAGGCGTCATCGTATGTTCACATTTGCTGGAACAGAGGTTTTGAAATTCAACATTTTGTGAATGTAGGCCTTGGACACGGTGTGGTACCACAGCTCTTTGTTGATGGTAGACTGCATCTCTCAGAGCCAGCCATGTATCCCAAGGGCTCTGTGCTTGGTATTCTGACTGTTACTATCTCCTAGTTGAGGACCAAGTAAAACAGCCCAGCTGTGCCTCTCATTAGGGCTAGTATTATGTCTGGGATATGTCAATGATATGAGCCAAAGACCTTGGAAACATTTTCTGTCCCCTGCTGTTTAACTTCATACTCACTGAAGTCTACAGTTTGAATCCAGTTTCTAATGGTGCTTTTTAAGATAAGAAAACACATTTTAGATGATACTGCTTGGCTAGTATCACCCTTTTTTAACCTGTGCACTTTTAAACTTTCTTTCAGTCTTGCACATGTGGAGATCTGATAGGGTGGATGAAGGAGTAGCTGAGGGATCAGCAGGCTCAAGGCCAGGCTCCTTCCTAGGCTAACGTCCACCTCTTTGGAAATAATACTTGCCTATCTCACAGGGATGTGAGGAAATGAAATAGAATGAACAGTGTTTCATAAATTAATATCCATTATAAATATCACGTAGCATGTATATGGAAGCAAGGAACAGAGAGGAAGTAATAGACAATCAGAAACAGGATAAGGCATGTTGAAGATGGGCTTCTGAACATATGCTTCAAGTAGGCTTCATAGGAAGTTCAGAAGAAGGCTTGTCTGGTGTTTGGAGGACAGAGTGGAATAACTCAAATCTCTAATTCCCACTTTTTCTCTGATTTCCTTTCTATACAATGTAATTGAACTCTTAGCAGGGCAGGTCTCAGAAGAGATGAGGCAAATAAGACAGTAACTGTTTTCCATATTCACATTTTAGAAATGGAAATACATGAAATTTAGAAATAGTTGTAAGTGACATTTAATGTAAAGGCCTGTGAAAGGGGAGCCTTCTGTCTCCCCACTCAGAGCCTATAGGTATACAGTTTTAAATGTGATAGGAGATGCTTTGACACCAACCACTAGCAACCCCTGGTCAGGGGAAGGGTGATTCTTCCTCTTCCTCTACAGCTCTCACACCACTTGCTGTAACTCATGCTATTTTAATAATGCTTTAATGAATAATGGGCCTCTCTCTGGATGGACATGACATTTTGCCATTCCAAGGGTGCTGTGTAAAATACAGTTCCACACGCAAAAACAAAAAAAACAAAATATGCCTTCCCCATACATACCATTTTTCATCTTCCAAGTGTGGAAGAAGTCCAGAGCATTTTTGCTACAAATCCCTGTAGGATTCTCTATAGCTATGACAGCTACAACTGCCTCTACCTCCTGCTCAGCTCAGGCCACCCTGGCAAGCCCCTCCTTGAGGAATTGTCAATCAGCCCCACCTAAATGGTGATCTTTTCAAAGGTCTTCTGTTAGCTTTCTCTAATGAGCTCACAACATAGTCCTGCTGTCACACAAGCAATGGTGGGCCAGGCAAGGGAGACAAAGGTCAGAAGTGGAAAACTTACAAAATCGGGCGAGATTGGAAATCTTCCTGGTTCATCCTCTCAGACTGGCGGATTTTCAGGATCTCAGTATAGCTCAAGTTCTGCAATTTGCTCTTGAACTGGTCCAGGGAGCTAGGCTTGGTTGTAAGTGCTCTCATAACCTGCTCCTTCACCACCTGCATTACCTGTTGATGAAAGCAATACCATTATTTTCCTGGGGCTGACCTTTCCTGCTCAGAAAAAGCTCCTTTCTCCCCTGGGCAGACAGCATGTGCTCTGAGCTCCAGCCTTGAGTTTGTTTTTACAAATGATAAACTTCCATTATGTGCACTCCCATTTTCTCTTCCACTGTGGGAGCCACAAGGAAGGAGCTGGACTAAAGTGGAGTGAAGGGCAAAGAAGAGTGTCCGTTTGCCCTATATATTACATGGCAGCTGCCGAAATAACACTGTAAACAGTACAAATTTGAGTCAGAAACGAACAAAGGCCAAAGCACAGCTAGAAGCCTGCATATTAATTAGTTCTTCTAAGAGAAAATTGCTGAGACACAATTAACTGTGAAGTTTGGTTGGCACAGGTTCAAATGAATGTATACAGATACGTACACTTCCTCGACTCCCATGTTGGTAGGGTCTGGATGCACATACAAATTATGCATTTGGAAATGGGTATCTGCTCTTTCTCTTCGAGTCAGCTACTAAACAAAGGGGTTTATTAAATTAGAATGGACGTATCCCACTGGAAACCTCAAGAAAAAAGAATATGATAATTTGCTGCCTCTGGACAAGTCTAGCTCACAGGAGGCCATTAAGCATTGCCTCTACTAATGTGGATTCATCTTCATCAAAATACATAGAAAAAAAGGTCAAAGAACATAGAGAGGCACCCAAAGGGCCTGTAATCTTGCTGCTGTTCTTTTCATCCTCCATTACTGAGGACAGCAACAAGCATTAGCTTTTATTTTGTGCCTACCATGTGCCAAATGCCCGGGTAGTCACTTTATATGTGTGTTATATAGTCTCTTTATTCACTTAAATCTATAAGGCAGATATTACCAGCATTTCTACTTTATGAAGAAACTGAGGCATCAGAATATTAAGGAATTAGCTCAGAATCACAGTTGGCTATTATGTGGTTGAGTCAGGATTTGATCTCATGATTGTAAACACACTACTGCCATTTAGGCCACCATTGTTGGTGCTGTTTGGGATGTTAAAAATAAGACAGAACTACAGATGTGCCTCCGCTTCATGATGAGTTTGGTACCAGGTACCTTGTTATGTATCATTTTGTTTAATCCTCCTCCAATACAGTAGAGTAGGATATGAGCATTTTACTGATAAAGAAACTGAGGAAACTTCGATAACCTGCCTCAGATCACACTTACCTAGACAAATCCTAAGACACCAAGCATGATGGCTACACCACAGCCTCAATGTTGAACAAATATGGATATGAGACAGACTCTGCCTTCTGAGCCAATGGCCTGATGAAACACATGGGCAAGGCCCAAGGTCACTACCATGGAAGTACAGAAATGATAGACCTATGGGCTACCTGGGCAGGTAGGAGACATTTCACTCAAGGTGACATTTAATATCAATCTTAGAGGAAGAATGGCTGTTTAGTGATGTATATAGGGATGAATAATCTGGAACACTGCTGCACATTAGTCACTTTGAACCTGGCCTAGATCTAAACCAGAACCAACTATGCCCCAAACATAATGGCATAGGAAAATTTCCAGTTGACCTCCTGCCAAATCTGCTTCTTTTTTCTGCTTTTTCTCAGACAATATTGTTAATTTGGGATGCCTGACAAATTTTGAAAGTTTATGCCACACTAGGAAGCATAATCGGTGGTCAAGTTTGGTCAAGACTGAACTATGATGTTCTGTCATCCATGTGATACGCACCCCAGGGGCTGCCCCTTTCCCCATTAGAGGACCTCAGAACTGGAAAACCAGGTCGTTGTCTCCCAGTGTTATTTGCTCTTCTGATGGGCAGCTGTCCACACAAGAAAGAAAAAGGACAGTGATAAGAATGAGAAGTGATTTTTAAGTAGAATTAGGTTAAAACCAAGAGTGCAGAGTTGCACCACTCCATTTTACAAGTGAAAAAATAGACAAGAGAGGTGATGCTCTTACTACATGTGGTTTTTAAAATATATATATTTTATTATTTTTATTTTATGTATGTGAGTATACTGCTTGCATGTATGTCAGTGCACCCGTGTTGTGCAGTGCCCAAGGAGGTCAGAAGAGGGTGTCAGATCCCCTGGAACTGGAGTTACAGAAGGTTGTTAGCCTCTGTGTGGGTGCTGGGAATTGAACCCAGGTCCTCTGTAAAAGCAGGCAGTGCTCTTAATCAGTGAGCCATCTCTCCAGCCCCATTGCACGTGGTTTTGAAGGAGATGTCCCTAAACAGTGACAGTTTTCTCTGTGTCTGTTTCGACTCATGATGGGGCTGGGAAGTGATCAGAACTGCACTATCAGTACTGTTTTTTAAATATTTTATTTATTATTTTTATTTTATGTGTATGCATGTATTGCCTGCATGTATGGAAGTGTACCCATGTCATGCAATGCCCACGGAGGACAGAAGAGGGCATCGGATTTCCTGGAACTGGAGTTACAGATGGTTGTTAGCTGCCATGTGGGTGCTGGGATTTGATCCCAGGTCTTCTGTAAGAACAACCAGTGCTCTTAACCATGGAGCCATATCTCTAGCCCTCCCCAATCATCATTCTTTTCCAGACTGTTTTGATTTACCTTGAGAAAGATCCTGCTCTTTTTTAGGGGTAAGATAAAAATGTGATTGCAGAGAATGTTACTATTCTGCCTTATTTAACCAGAAAGTCATTCTGATCTTACATTTGGTGTTTGGGATACCCGAATCCTTTTTTCTTAAGTTGATTCAAATGGATTTCATTTGTAACTAGAGTCCCAACACATATCTACAATGATGTCTAAGAAGGTTGTCAGCTTGTGGGTCTGAGATGGCCCAGACAGAGGGAGAAACGGAGGCAAGATACAGCCTGACTTTGGAATTCACCTTTCCTTATATGTACATGGTTCTAACTGCATGCAAACAATGAAAAACTCTTATGGACTGTGAGGACACACATCATTGACATTTGATGCTTAGAGCTTCAGTAACTAGTACACAGCTTTGAACTCTCCTAAGTGGAAGAACATCCAGTAGAAAAATCCTTTAAATTCTTTTGCAATTTGAAGAAAAGGGACAGAATCTTTCATAAAAGTAGGTGGACTGACTAGGATCTGGAGCCACGGAGAGGGATGAGCAGTGGGTACAATACATAGCACAGAGGCCAGTGGAGCCTCGTATTATTAGCTTGCCTATTCCAGGTCCCACTGTCATTTAGCATTGGTCCTAATGAGTTCTATTGTTTACTCTGTATGTCAAAGAAAAGATCAAAGAGGGAATTGGAGAGATGACCCTGGGGCTAAGAGCACTAGTTGTTCTCCATGAGGACCAGAATTCAGTTCCTAGCATCCAAGTCACTTTGCGTACAACTGCCTATAACTCCAGCTACAGGGAATCCAAAACCCTCTTCTAGCCTCTGTGGGTACCTATATGCATATGGGCAAATTCACACACAGGCAGATACATATAATTCACTTAAACAAAAACAAATTTTTAAAAATCTTTAAAAACATAAAAGTGACCAGAGGTTTATTTTTTTAATGATAAAATACTTATATAACTCAAACGTCCCTCTGTGTCACTGAAAAATGGTTTCTACTTTCTATAGCTCTTATAATTAAACCATGTGAATTCTGAAGACTCCATGTGTCTCCAATGTCCCTAAAACAAGACATTCCAAATCACCATCATTAACTGTCTCTTCTTTGGAAAACATGGAACCTTTTTAACATTTGTCTAAAAACCTGCAAATGATGTGATGGAGGCATCAGCAAATCGGTGGTTAAACTTTTTAGTTAGTGCACCTGTACTTTTTCACAGACACCAAAGGAAATATGCTCTTACAATTCACTGTTGCTATTGGTCCATTTTTCAAGCAACATCTGCAGCATGCTGGTAGTAAGTTCTGGAGAATTTTCCTAGTTTGTGTTGATCTCTGTCGCAAAGCCATATCTAATAAAAATGTGGGATTCTCACAGGACGTTTGTACTTTGCATGGAGAAAAGCTTTGGTTCTTTGAAAGACTTGTTGAAGCCCTGAATCAAACAGGCCTCAGGTAAAGTAGTCTAACGGTGCCACTGGTTTTGTTGTTCACTTAAACGTGCTCCTGTATCCTACTACTAGATCTTCTGGGCTTCCTTGTGTTCCTACTCTTGCGTTAGATCTTGTCTTTATGCCCACAATCTTTATATAGCATCAGTAATCCACTTATCCGACATATATTTTTAGCACCTACTCAGGGTAAGGCACTGGGTGAGTTTGGAAACTTAGTGCTCAATGAGTTCTCAGCCTGGAAGAGTGGACCAGACAAGTCCTGGCATCACTGAAGAGAGGAAGTGATGTCACAGTGCAGCAAAGGGGCCACACATTCATTCCAAAGCACCGAACCCCTCTCTGTGCTAGCAGGATGAGACACAGCACCAGGACTTCAGCTGCAGCTCGAGGGGAGGCCACAATCAGATACACTGTGATATAGGGGAAGGACATTTGGAGGAGAAGCAGCTGGAGTAAAGCTTTGAGGGCAGAAGGGAGCATCAGTGAGGGTAGTCTGCTTAGCAGTTTGCTAGGCACTGCTAACAGAGGAAAAGCATGTGCCTTCAGAGCTGGCAGTGTTTATTGCAAAGTCTGACTCTACCACTCACCAGCTGGGCTGAACAAAAGGTTCATCTTCTCAGGACCCCAGTTTCCTTATCTATGAAGCAGAGATCTGTGGTCAGGTTTAGGAGAGCATTGAGGGCAATAGCTAATGAGACTCCCTCTTAGTCACAGTTTGAAAGATATCTTGCCCAGGGAATATAATCTCCCCTTTGCAGCTTGCAAACAATTCCACGCATTCTCACATGATGATTCCATGTGTTCATGGCACATGGAGGGCAGTTCAAGATTATATTGAGGCTGTGTTGCATAGACCTTGTTCTGACATTACATGGGTGTTTTCTATGAACAACATTCTCAACTCGTAACCTAAATGGTTTCAGGGATTAGCAGATTCTTTGGCCTGCCCTTGCTCTCTTCTGCCA